CGTGCCCATAAATCACGAAATGCACTCGCGTTCATACGATTTCCTATACGTATACAACTGGAAAAGATGGAGTTCAAGGGGAGGACACCAAGAATGTAACTGAATTAGGGAATCTCCAGAGAGCAGAGAAGAAAAATTCAGCTTGTCTGTGACTAAGATGTTAAGGGTGCGCTTCAAATTAAGCTCAATAATTTTAAAGGAAGTTTCCTCCATAAAAAAGAAAATTTTCTCTTTGTCTTCAATATTGTGCGTTAAGAACTCAAACAGGATATGGACACTGAGCAGGAACTTTATTGTGGAATATCATGATCATGAAGTTCAGTCACTGAACATTTCCCTCTGCATATTTGGGTCATCGTTCCCATCATTGCTATTGTTACATGAAACTGTTTTACTGCTCTGACTATGGCATTGCATGGGTGTTAACATGGTTCTTCATTTCACCTAAGTAATGGGTTTAAACTTTAGTTTCTTGCTGCCAAAGCAAGAAATAATCTGACCATTTTCATAATTGCTTCCTCGCTTTCTCTTTATTTGTTATTATAATAAAGTTCGGATATAACGCGCGCTGTCATTGGTTGAAAGAGCGTGCTCTATGAGAGTATAGAGCATAGAGCTGAGCTAAAGCTGTCACGCCATCTGCCAATTGTACTATGTTCGAGCTTTTCCGGGACTTCTTTTTAGCTTTATTCCGATAACTGAAAGTGAAATTTCGGAACTGAAGCGAGCCGGCAAGTATCAACAGAAGAATCAAACAAAGGTTTGTAAACATACCAGGCGCCGTAATTTACGTTATTAAAACGTTAGCAGATACGAAAATCCTCAAAGGAAAAACAAAATAAACATTCCGAGTTTTAAAGATTTTCACGCTCAGTTAGATTGCAAGCTTAAGAACGGTAGTAAAAATCAAACACAGCTAACACTCGTATAGCATAAAAAGTTCAGTGTCCAAGAACAAAACAGAACAAACCAGAAATAATGAAAAATATAACCAAACTGGCATAATTGTTAAAATTCATACTAATCATGACGGTGTCTGAGCGAATATGATCATGCTGAAGTTCATCGCGGTTCGCTTATTATGGCGATCTCCGGTTATCACAGTAAAGCAAGCCTCAGAAACTACATCGGCCGCCCTTCTAGTGAAAAAATAAGAGCCTGCTCTGATATCCTTTCCGATACGTTGAGTGGAAAGTCACATCAGTCACTGCAGCCGAGTTTTGAGGCCCTGTCATCACGAGCGATCTTCATGCTCCGGTGAATTCGGCTGTCGTTCACTCAAAAAACACTCGCCTTGAACAGTTTGTTTTCTACCTTGTCATGTGAAAAAAACTCGCGTGTTTTTATGAGCCATAACTCGGCTGAAGTTTACTGAACATTTCACTTCAAGATTCTGTATTAGAGACTTAAAAACTTCAGGCAAAAGTGTTAAATTCGACCTGCCGAACTATTTTAGTTTGTAAACTATCGTAGAAGGTGAACTTTGATGGTTTGACACTTTTGACAGCTTTAGTCTTGTACAGCTAATCAGATTATTTGAACCATTCTAACAGGGATTCTGATTGGCTTATGGTAGCGTGCTTTATGAGAGTATAGAGCATGCTGACGACATATTTGTTCGCTTTAGAAATAAAGTTTGTTTTGAAAATTGAAAGTAATGCTTGGGTAATTTAACGGATTCTTTATTATAAAACAAATTGAGAAGCCTTGACTGTGCTCTGTTCTGTTATAAAGCACGCAGGAAGCGGCTAGAGCACGAAAGAAGAGGGAAGAAACACTCGACTACGTCTCGTGTTTCTCCCTACACTTCTTTCGTGCTCTAGCCGCTTCCTGCGTGCTTTATAACAGAACAGAGCACAGTCAAGGTTCTCCATTTGTTAATTCGAAAATAATACATCTTCTTGGATGGCTTTGATTGAAGTAGTTTTATGTAATTATTCTTATATTCTGAACTAGATGATTTTAAACATTGCAAAAGGTAATGATTTTGGATGTATGAAATTCATATATTTGCACAGCGGTGAAGAAACGAAATTAAGAGATCCTTGCAGCTAAGAACACTACTGAACTAGTAGTTGAAAATAGGACCTGAAAAAAAAAAAAGAAAAAATGGGTTTTGAACCCATGACCTCTGCGATACCGGTGCAGCGCTATATCAACTGAGCTAACAAGCCAACTGGGAGCTGGAAAATATGTTGGGTCTAAATAAACCATCCAAGTGATGAATAATGATTTTGGATATATGAAATTCATATATTTGCACTGCGGTGAAGAAACGAATTTAAGAGATCCTCGCAACTAAAAACAAGGTGTTATTAAACAATTTTTTTTACTGTTCTCCATGCTTTTTTTTATCAATGGGAGTTTCTTTCCATGTTTTGACCGAAATAAAGGTTATTTCATTTTGTCTTTAATTGAATTTCTTTCATCGAAACAAAATCTTGCTCATGGATTCCTTTGCTAAACGTCTTGCACTAGGGCCGGGAATTTTGTGGCTTTAAACTCATTCTCTGTTGGCGTTTGGAGGAGACATATTGTTTTCTTCACTCTGCGGTGTCGGTAGTAGGTTCAATAGCTGTTTCACCATTTTGTTATTACATTTCTTCTTGACTTACGTACTCCTGGCCAAAAATAAGTCTTAATTTGCGCTTTCATAATCTACCTTGAGGGTTGACGTTCGATATTAGCGGGGAGTATCTCGAAGAAGTGGAGAAAAGGCTTTCACTTGTCAAATCCGAAATGGAAGGGAAAGGAGTGGATGTGGCCGTGGAGGCACGTTAAGTGCATAGCAGCATGGATTTCCCAACTTCTTACTTGTTTCGAGAAGCTTTTATTCAAAGCAACCCTCTCTTTTACACGGCTTCGCGCTGGAAATACGCTACGATTTCATCCTTCTTATCACCCATGGGCTGAAACCGTTAGTCATTTGGACGATTCATTAGGGATGAAGCAGTATCGCTTAAAATGACCTTTTTTCTTTCGCACAGATACATAGTTGCGACGTACCGAAACGAGCGCTAAAAAACTTGGGGGCTTCGGACGACATGTTGAATATATCATTGTTGCCTAAGTAATATGTACGTGAACGTGAATCTGAGCAGCGATTGGTTACTGTTTTGTTTTGGTCAGGGTTATGAAATTTGATACCTATGACAGACTGTTGGACACAAGTGGTTAACAATTTTTGCACAAAAAAAGGAATGTGTCAGAAGGGGCAAAGGGCATTCAACATCGCCTTGGTATACTACGTAGTCACTATTCATCCATTTTACGGTTTGTTTAAGAGGTAAGAGATAAGGGGTGTGTGATAACTGACAAATGGCCTGGTCGGACGAAACACCAGAAAAAAAATGATATAGATATCCTTCGGGAAAAACACTCTAAAACTCTACTAGGAATACCTCATCGGATCGGGAAAAAGTCTTCCACGTAATATATGACTAATAAACAAAGGCTGTGAAGACGCGAAAACTGAGCTAGGCAAAAAGTGAAAGTCAGGAACAAAGAAAATTATGTAATAATCATTGTTCTCAATTAATAATCCTTGTGTTTTGTTAACACCCCAATGTATCTTGATCCTAAAACAGTCTTTCCAACATGGCTGACATGCAACGTCACATGTGCTCGATTTTAGTGGTCTACATTGCATAAATGCGCGTTGTCTAACTCCTTACCGTATTAATTTCCACTCAGTCCAAACAATTACTTACACCTGTCACTGCTTTGATCGTAGATACAAGGAATCTCACATGAAATTCACCAGAAAAAAATGAAATGATCAACAGCTAAAGAAAGTATTGATTGCTAAACAAATTCTCCTTGTCAGCACCTTATGAGATGCGAGGAGAACACTATGAAGAATATGCATAATAATGTCGGGGTTAATCAAACTAACGGGAAATTATAACGTTTATAA